TTTCTGAAAATTGTGGCTCCAAACCCTGTCAAGGAAATCAGATTTCACCATGTAGGAAAGACTTTATAACTTAATTTTTGCTTTATTTTTCCACCCTGCTCTGACCCTTATTGTCATTCCTTGTACTGTACAGTGACATGCAGGAGAACATAAGAGCAAACTTTACTGACTCTGTTCCTCCGATTGTTTTGCGTGCAAATAAAGCACACACCTGCGGATGTTACCTGGGTGTTTCCTCGGCTGGCTCCTCCTTTCCAGTGAGCGCTGTAAGGTGAGACACTGGAAACTCAGACCGCTTTGTTATTTACTTTGACAGCAGCCAGTTTTTTTCCAGGGAACAAAAATGAAATAACCTTCTTGTTGCAGGTTGTTTATAGCCTCGGTGGACTTCTGTACCTGCAGCGCATGACTCACGATGGAGGCAGAAATGAAGGGAAATGCTACTCAGCCTGTGACATGTAATAATGACAGCGACAGGTAGGCTTTGGGTTAACTGTAACGTTCTCTGACTGCTTCTTTTATTGCTGATATATCATATTCACGGCATAGACAGTCGTTTGAATTTGTTATTGTCAGATCTTGCACCGTGCATGAGCCTGTTGCTTCCTCACTGGTGACCTGTTATTTCCATCAGCTTTCTTCCTCTCCAACTTATTGCATTTCCACATAATCTTTCGCTTCACAAACTTGTAAAGCTGCTATTAAAAACATTCAGGCTTAAGGAAAAATACCGGCGCTTATTTAAAGTTATTTTTAAGCTTGAATTTTGCTCCTTGCTCCTAATCCCACTGAGAGGTAATTTAATACTTACTATTCATCCAGCTCGAGCATTTGATCACCCCGCTAACAGAAACCCAACCCTGTGGAGGCAGTTGTAGAGTCTGTCATCACTCAATAGGAGGGAGAACGGAGGGTGGGGAGGAAAATCTATCCTTTTTTTTTCACAGTGTTTGTCAGCTTTATGCATTAACTTCTGGGGGAATGTTTGAATTCGTCCCCAGCAGGGTTGACCCCTATGGCTTCGAGAGGCGCCATGACTTTGACTCCTACAAGGAGATGATGAATGAGTACGTGGCTGTTCTTAACAGAAGGTCGATGAGATGGTCGAAGCTGCTTCAAGAGAAACCTCAGGTGGAGAAGAACCTAACAGGTACGGACAGCATAAACACAAACTGCATCGTATTAAAGCGCTGTGTTTCTGTGGTGTAACCTTGACGTTTGTTTTGGAAGTGAAGAGATATGTGCGTAAAGGCGTGCCTAATGAGCATCGTGCCAGGATCTGGATGGCAGCTAGTGGAGCCCAGGAGCAACTGGACAGTAAACCGGGTTATTACCAGTCTCTGCTGGCCATGGAGCACGACGGCAAGCTGAAGGAAACCATTCACACAGGTGTGACAAAAGCTGGCACCTCACCCCACAACAATACACTTCCCCCTCTGTCTAGCTGAAATTACAGTTTAGCAATTCCGTCTCTATTGGCAGATATGCACAGGACCTTTCCTGACAACATCCTCTTCCAGACCAGAGCAGAACCGAGCCTGCAGAAGGCTCTTTACAATGTGCTGCTGGCCTACGGACACCATGATCAGACGGTGGGGTACTGCCAGGTGAAGAAAACACTCTCCTGACGCTTGATGTAACATCTGTTTACACAAAGAACAGGACGGGCTGCTTCCTTATTCATTCAAATACACGAGTAGGATTTTCCCCACATGCAACACTAGTCGCTGTTTGCTCTGTTAAACTTACACCCATCATTGGATTTATTAATTGTAAAAGTAATATACGTACAGTATCGGTTTCATCCAGACTTCCTGCTAAAACTATCAAGTGACAATATACTAGTAAAATATGCTGCTGCTGTCAAAATATCCAGCATAAATTCTGCAACATATCTTGTTATGTAAGTGGATCTAACAAGTCAGTCCGCTGAAGTGTTTTTTTGTTTTTTTTTAAAGACCAATTCAAATGAACACAGTCCGACTAACTCAGTACAGACTCAAGTAATAATTATACTAATTAGATAATTATAATAACTAGATAATTAGATAATGGCGTACCTTTTGTGCTTCAGCAGCACAGATGGTCGAGCATGGATCCAATCAGTCCACCACACTAAACAGCAGCGGCCACAAACAACAACTAATAAAAAAAAAAATATGGAGAATTTAAATATATGTATTTATCCTGATATATATATTTCATGTATCATATTATATATAACACAACATGTGCTGCAAAAGTTGTGTGACAGCTTCCTCATCCCTGATCAAATGACATGCCATGATTGACAAAGACCGAACCATGGGTTTAGGTCCGTATTCACTGACCTTTACTAATTCCCTAAAGTAACAATACAATTGCTAAGCACATCTAAGTTCATAGGCGTGTTTTTTTTTTTGTTTTTTTTTGGCATTGTATTAACTGATATATTTTTTCAACAAGGAGAGACACATATGAAATCTATATTCTACATTTCTAGTCAATACAGCCTAATTTTCTGCTGCTGTGTTGTTATGTAGCTATTACCATTCTGTTGGGGTAATTTAGATTCAGACTTATGTCATGTAGCATAACCCTAAATGTTTGATATCACATACCATAAAACACAACCTGTGTGTAGATCTACATCTAATAATTTATCATTGTGTAATTTACTGAAGTATTTATTTGAGTAGATCTTCTGTAAACTTTACTTTTTGGACTGCTACTGGTAATTAAGTCAAATATTGTGGTATCACAGCAGAGAGTTGTAAAATCCTGGCTCTGGTTAAGCAACAACTCAGGTTTAATCTGACAATTAGCCTGACTTGAAGCTTTTTAGTTTTCCAGCATCAGCTGTCAAAGTAGCTGAGCTTGAACTATTTTAATTTTTTCTTATGGAACCAAAATGACCTGAAAGCAAGTCAGACTTACTGAAATAAGCCTGGCTTATTTAACAAACTCTTTATTGTTTTTTAGAACAGGTCCTTGGTCAATTAAAAAAAGTAATCCAAGATCCTCTGTCTGTTCCAGGGGATGAACTTCATCGCAGGCTACCTCATGATCATCACCAAAGACGAGGAGAAAGCCTTCTGGCTTATGGATGCATTGTTGGGTAGAATACTTCCAGGTACAGTTTCTTGAATGTCCACACACACACACACAGACACACACACACACACACACACACACACAAACACACAGTTGAAGCTGGAGTGGACAGAAATCTAAAAGACAGAAAACATACAGCTCTCCCTGCTCTGTTCTAAGCCCCTCCCACTACAAAGGCATTAAACTATTACTTAACATTCATTTGTGGCTTCACTCAAGATTTAAACCCTGCTCTGCCAAGTGAGAGTCCTCTGTTGAACCCATTATACCACCATATTAATTGGATTAAATTGTTTTCAACGTTCTTGGAAACGTTTCAGCTCTCATCCAAGAGGCTTCTTTGGTTCAAACAGATCAAGATATACACCAGTGAACTGCTGATAAAGGCTCCTCAAGACAAGATCAGAAGTCCACTGCATTACATTCTGGACAGAGAGGACAAAGTTTGGTTTGAGAAAGAAGTGAGAGAAGCAATCTAAGCTAAGTTAGAGGTACATTTAAAACCTGGATTGTTAATGGTGCCATTAGCCATGTGTTTTTGGGGGTGACAGTATATATCTGAGACACCCTATCAGTCAATTAGATCTGAGGAAGCCTCTTGGATGAGAGCTGAAACATCTTCAAGAACCAAAAAGCAAGGTCCAGCTGCCTTCTATGGCAGCTCTTAGGACTACTATAACCTGGATGACTGGCAGTCTACACAAACACAAAGTCCTGACCAAACAAATTCAGTGTGAAAGGGCAGTAAATGTGGGATGTTACAGACTACTACAGCCCGGCCATGATGGGCCTGAAGACTGACCAGGAGGTCCTTGGTGAGCTGGTGAAGACCAAATCCCCGGCAGTAGGACAGCTCATGGCCCAGTATCCCGGCATATGGACTCTGGTGGTGTCGCGCTGGTTCATCTGCCTCTACATCGACATACTCCCAATTGAGGTGAGGGACAGTTGGGTTTAATGGTAGAGGGGCACATGGTGACCATTTCGTAGACATCCTTCTTGTTTCCTTGCAGACCGTCCTGCGGGTCTGGGATTGTCTCTTCTACGAGGGCTCAAAGGTGCTTTTCCGTGTTGCTCTGACGCTCATCATTCACCACCAGACGGAGATCCTGAGAGCTCGCTCTTTGCCCGATGTGTGCGAGTGCTTCAAACAGATCACCTGTGGAGCGTTCACTCTGGACTGTCACACCTTCATGCAGGTGAGATCAGCGAGGACAGTCAGAGAAAACTAGGGAGGAAGCAGCGGCTGTTTCCTTTCAAACGAAATCCTTCCAACGAACTAATCCTGTTAAGGTATTAGGATGAGCATTACCAAAAATGATAGAATAGAGCACCCTGTTTACATGCTTCAGAACAGTGCTTTCCTTCACCGGTCATAGCAAAAAGACTTTTATGAAGACAAACAACAGAAGCAAAAGTGGTACATCTTAACAATTTTAACTCAGGATTGTTTAGAAGACAATAGATGTTCCAAAAATACCGACAAATACACATCTTTTTACCAGAGCGTGAACAACCTAAATTGAAGTTTTTATTACAGTTACGAGTGGAATTAAATTCATGTTGTCCCCCCTATGTGACCTTCTCTTTTCGCAGAAGATCTTTTCAGAACCTGGGACCCTGTCAATGACAACTATTGATAAACTGCGAGAGAAGTGCAGACAACAAATCCTGAAAGAGGAATCGGGACAACCATGAAGTTTAGGATCCACCGTGTTCCTATTTGACTGAATTTTTGAAACTAAGGACTTTCAGTCGGTGTAAGAAAAGCACTGTATTATCAGGACATATCACCTAATGGACGTAGTGGCGGCGGCTGGCTCTGGCTCCTTCTGTGACTAGTTAATATATTACACTCTAATCAAGCGGACTGGATATTTATTATGAGGGGTGTGCTAAAGTTTTTGAGCCTTTTCTTTTGCTTCTAGGTTTTTAAAATGACTTTGCTGCTATAGACACAGTTAGGACTTTAAGACTTTGCACAAAGTATTTACATTTTTTTGTAATTACATGCACTTTTGCCATAGAAACACTGGAGTGATCTGTGGAGAAAAAACATTTCTGCTTTGTCTCTGTACTTGATAATATAGAAAAATTAAATTCAACAAGTAAAATTGTACAGTCAGACTTTGGTGTGGTGACTACTGTCCAGATTTACAGAACTCAGACTTGTTTTCCACCTTTTGTCTGTAAAGAAAAGCCCAACAATTTCCCTCATGTGTTTCCTCATTTAGCTGATCTCAGCCAAACAAAGGTAAGAAGAACTGGTCATTTCAGTGTTACATGATCTTAAACCACAGTTCACTGAGGGGCTTAAAACCTGTGGATGTATATTAAAGTTAGAAATCCCAAATCCACTTAACCTTGTGAATGCACTTGATTTCTGAGCTCACACAAAAGACTTGTTAAGCTGTTTATCCCCAGTTATAGAGAATTATTTAAGAATTGGAGGCTGCATTCTTTTGGTGACCAAAACTAAAAGAAAAAAAACAACAAAAACTTAAATCTGCACATTTATAAATTAATATTTAAAGCTCTGGTTCTCAGGAATCATAAATAGTACAATATTTATAGGTATTAAGTGTAAGAACATCATAGTATCAAGTACTAGCTGCAAAACACTCAGACTGCTTTACTTTACATCATGTTGTGTGTCCTTGTGATTGTTAGGCATTTTCTCTGTATGTATTTTGCATAGCTGAGGTTGTTTTGCATCCCCTCTGGCCCAGCCCCTGCAAATCCAGAGCACGGACTGATGTGAATACAATGTGTGGCTATTTGAAAAAGATGACGAATACTGAAATTCAACTTTAATTTACATTTACTTAAATTACATTTAAATAACTTCCTTTAACTATACAACTCTGCAGTCTGGTCTTTTCTGACTGACCAAAACAGTGCAGCAGGTCTTCTGTTAGCTGTCAGACACCGTGTTGTTTTCTTTCTCACTTCTGACACAGACTTCAAACAAGTTTCCTTGCGTGTAGCTCTCATTTTAGGGGGAAAAAATAGATGCATGGCTCTAGATCAGGTGAATAGGAAGGGTGGTGGTGGAGTACTGCGATGTGATTCTCGGCAAAAACAGGCTACACTGAGAGCGCCGAGTGTGTCGTGGTTTTGTCCTGTTGAATGATGAGGCCATGTTTGCACAGCTGAGGCGTCTGTCTCCTGATAGTTTCTTTAAAATGTTTGTAACACTCATATACTGAAGGGAAAAAGAAATGAGAATTTTCTATTTTAAAAAGGAATTAGTCTCATTTATGAAGGCAGCTTTAACAGTCAAACACCGTGTTTGTCAAACAGGTACGCTCCAGTTATTGCGCTGTTAGTTTAATTTCACTATTCAGAAACATTTGTTCAGATTCTTCACACAATAATGTTGGAATTTAGTCTTTGATGGTATTCAGTAGCACAGTTACCGTCAAATAATGAGCCTCCACTTCTAAAGAGTCCAAACAAATAAAAGCAAGCAGGAACAGGTTTGACTGCTGATGAACTGCACATGAAGGCAAAACACAAAGCCAAACAGCCTCGTTCGTTCGCTTTTATTGGCCTCTCCTTTAAAAAACAGTTCAAACAAAATCCATTAAAACCTTGTTAAATCACTATATGGATATTAGGATGAGGGAGGAAAAATAAACACAAAAAAACAACATAAATATCTGTACTTTCTCCTACTACATCTAACAATGCTTAATGATGGTAGTACCGGTACATGAAGGCGACGTGAGACACAAAGAAAATGTCCCGTAGTTGGCAGCACACAGTGTCAGTGAGTGAATGAGTGAGTACATCTGTGATACTGGCGTTACTTGAACTCAGTCCATGTTACAGCTGGGAAGGCACTGATGAACACTGACTAGAGCATTTCGGACATTTGACTTGACATTACTTGTGGCTGTTTCTCAGGACTTCAGCGTAACATCTTTCTCTTCAAGCAAACAAAATCCCAAGTGGGCCCAAATGCAGAACAGACAAACAAACAAACAAAAACCACCCAGCGGACTCGACAGTGTTAACGTTACTGCGGTGACGTCCTGAGCTTCTTCATCTAAACCAACAGTGCCTTTTTAAGAGATTGTTTAAGCAAATCCTGGTGTGCACGTGTGTAATGTAACAGCAGAATCCACAGGAGTGTCTATGATTACTGTGGGAAACACACTTCTTAGCTTTTGTGCTGAGTTACATGAGAAGATCGACAGAGTTGCCTTCTAATAGTAGACTAAATATCGAGGGGAGTGGATTGGTTATGGACAGATATCCTTTACACAGCTGGTCCCTGCAGGTATTGAACAATAATCACATCGGATTGGGCAGGAAATCCAAAGTGTGGGATCATTTCAGAGTAAAAGACGACCCCAAGGAGGCCACCAATAGTGTTTTTTTCGATAACGAGCCTTTGCCACATTGACGTCAGCATTAACAAAGAGTCCTGTAGTGTCTGTGATAGCTTACAGAGGATGAGGTGCTTGCTAGCTGCATTTCCTTGACCTGAAGCTCAATCTCTGATTAGAATCAATAACAAAACATTTCCAGCACATTCACACTCATTAACGTAGTGGTTGTGCTGGTGTTGCTGCAGCTTGTTTAGTGTACGCTTGTGAGATTTACATTTGAAAAACACATTTTTTAGCTGAGATTTTGTATTCCTCTATAATGTTAACAATGTTAGCCCACTTGTAACATTCTCTCAGGTTTGGAATCATTCTCTGACAACCCCTTCAAAAACTATATATATTAAGATAATTAAATTATTTCTAATGCCTTGTCAACGATTACCAGTTCAACAGATCAATATAATGTCGATACAGTGAATATGAAGCTACAGTTCAGGACCATGTAACAAGTTCTGTAGGTGGGTTATGAGTGGGCAAACATGTTTACTTCCTAGAGTCTGTCCCCAAACACCCACAGCCAAGAAATAGTCTGGCTTATACCATCTGTAAACATCTCCTGGCTGTGGCTTCATATTTAGCTGTTGTAAGAGTGACGTCAATCTTCTCATGCAACTCTCAGCAAGAAAGCGAACGACCTTATTTCCCCAAAATGTCTAACTATTCCTTTAAGTGCAGTGACTAAAAAGCTAAAATAGTTGCCTACAATCCTACAAAGCTCACAACTGTATCTACACTTTCTAATGAAATGAGTTGTGTACCTCTAAAAGGTAGAAACGGGAGTTTATCAACTGACCCCAGTCAAACAAATAAACTCCCAAATGTATCGGACTACTGACGAGCTCCTTGTGCGTTCTTTTCAGAATTAGGTTAGTTTTAGTATGTTCCTTGCTTGGCAATAAGAATAAAAAAAAAAAAAGTCAGTTTTCAACATCTGAGGTGGATGTAATACGACTGGCAGAGATATTCCCTTTATAAACAACAAACCTTTTTGGCAAGACCACTAAAAACGGTCACCCAAAAAACAGACAAGAAAAGCTAAAGTAGCGATCCCCTCAATCCCTCAAAATTCCTTTCACAGAAATCATAAATAGTAGAAGAACTTGAGAATTCTCATTGACCCTCTGATCAACATGCATCCCCTGCTTTACGTGGTGCCAGGAAAAAGTTTACCCCATTCCATTACAATCTCCCATCAGAGTCCCTTTTTGTTTCATGAAAGAGCAATCAGTTCAGAAAGCGCATATCAACCTCCACAAAGTGATTATGACTAGTGTTACCGATGAGGGCAAAGAACAGCACACACACAGAGGCGGGGGGACGAAGGGAGGAGGGAACAGCGAGGGGGAAGAAGGTCGAGCGTTAAGTCTCGTAAAACAGTGGTTAATTTCAGGGATGGGGTGGCGCGCTCTGGCCTCTGGGAACATGTAAGTGACCTCAGATGGTTTGGTAGCCAGCGTGGCTCCTCTTCCTGCCGATGAGGTAGGCCAACAGCACGATGAGGACGAGACCTGCTAAAGCTGCTCCGACTATGATGGGGATCAGCATGTCATCTTCATCCAACTGGCATTCCTCAGCTGGGAAGAAAGAGAGAAACATGTGAGGAACTAGAGCGAGAAAGAAGCTGAAGAAGTTTATCTACTTGGTGAAAGTGTTTACCTGCTCCAAACTTGTCTCCCGTGAGGCCGAAGGGCTGCAGCTGCACCTGGAAAGTGTTGATGGACAAGTTGGGGGTCACGCTCAGAGTCTGCTCTTCGCGGCACATGTACGAGTATCCCAGGGTTCCCCGCAGGTAGTCCAGGCTGCGGTTCTGGGCAAAGAAGTGTTCTATGGCAGGAGACAAAGCAGGGAGGATAGCAGAAGATGTGTTCAGTGTTTCATGTGAAAACAGATTGATATGAATGAGAAAAGTGAGAGGATTAAACGGCGAACGCTCCAAGTTCCAACCTTGCGTCCATGGGTTGATTGTTTAGTGACCTCTTTGGTAAATGACAAAATTAAATGGAGAATAACTATTACATGTTAACATCAAACTCCCCATGGACAGCGCAACTTCTAATTCACTTAAACTTGAACAAAAAGACAGATTTTTTTGTATAGTGGCTCGGAACTGATGACGGAGACAAGAGTTTTCTGGTAAGTTTTTTACTAAATGTCACTAAAAACAGCAGTCCTCAACCTTTTTTGCACTAAGGACTGGTTTTACGCAATAAATTTTTCTATGGACCGACCATTGCACACATAACAAAAGATAATATTCATTTCTATTAAAAAGTTTCACAAACAAATAAAATGACTTGCTAAGTATGTGTTTACTTTTCCTTCTGTCTCAGCATTGAGTCTCTCCCAATTTTCAAAGAAGCTTTCCTGAAAACATTTGTTTTTTTAATACATTTCAGCAACGGTTAGACTGATGGAGTCGTTTAACAGCGAGCATGAAAACTGACTGTCAAGTCCAGGAAACAAACACAGACAGAAGTGACAGGAAGATGATCTAGCACCTTTTCAAAATAAAACACCCTGTAGACTGCACTGGAAATAAAAATAAAACAATAAAACTTTTTTTTTCCCCCTTTCTTTCTGTGCAGCCCAAATGACCCACAGCCCGGTACCAGTCTGCGGCCCGGTGGTTGGGGACCGCTGACAACAAAAATTTTGTTCATTCAGTCCAATTATCTTTAACAGTGTGATTCCTTAAAGAAAGAATTCTGTCTGTAAACTGTGATGAAGATGAATGAATGAAAATGAGAAAAGGGACAAAAGTATGTACTTGTCTTTGTAATTTCCTTATCGTTGTTTATTTTTAAAATCTTCATTTATTTTTTAATTCTCCTTGTAGCCATGATTGTGCTGTTTCCATAAAGGTGCACGACTTTATCGTGCAAAATGAGCACACAGTAATCAAAAGAGTGAGAGGAGCAGAGATCACCCAGAAACAGCTCAGAGGGGAAATAAACAAACAACATCTGAGACAATGCTGTTGCAAAAGAGATATATTCCTTTCCAAGTATCTAATCCAGTTTACAGGAAACCAACCTCTTATTTTAGCCTGTACTCCACAGCCTATACAAAACACAGTCTTGTGCAAGTCGTAAAGCATCACATGGTGCTTTCTAAGTTGGATTTTGTCCATCAACACATCTCTGACACAATCTCAACAAAAACTAAATATGTCACTGCGGCTATATGTACATTTAATCAGACAGGCATTCCTGTTCCTCAGGTATCTTAACTACTGTGAAAAATATCTGCTTAAGTTTATTACACGTTGGGGTCACAAAAAAAATGTATGTATTGTGTAAATGCAAAATATTTTAACCCCAAAAAATAGTAAGATACAGTTACTCAAAGGCAGAGTTGGCATGTGGGACCTCACACAAGTGTTTTGGATTTATTTTCTTACTTGTCTATAACAACACACTTACTTGACTCCACAAAAACCCTGGCTACATTACACGAAACAGACACCACGCTGAAATCAGAGAATCTTTGTGCTCATGCTTATTAATCAGATATGAGGTCGTGAGCATGCGGCCTTAGAAGTGGAGTGTGCTCACCTTTCATATCTGGCCAAGCCGCTGACAGAGACACTTCACTCAAGTGGTACTTATTGGACGTAGTATTCTGGAAACAAACAGCAAGACCAGCAAATGAGTACCACTGAATTCAAGCAGGTTTACTTCAAGCTCCAGCTGCCATCTAGTGGCCTTTTCAGGAAGTACAAGATAAAAATAAAACCGCCTGCCAAATAGGTGAGAGGACAAACAGCACATGATGCTGTTACTCACCAGAGCGAAGACAAAGGTGAGGTTGGTTTTCTCTGCATCTGTAGTGAGTCGCAGGGTGGCGCTCTCTGCCTCACATGACCCAGAGCTCTTTGTGAAATTAGGCTGAAGGTTCACGATATCCTGCACCGTCTGCAAACAAATGATTAAACCACTTAGTGTTACCTCTGAAAGCATCTACAGCTTTAGCTGCTCAGACAGCAGTTAAGTGGTTCTACTCAGGCACCTTGTTCTGGGAGAAAGAAGTGAAGGAGATGTTGAGCTGGAGGCCCATATATGCCAGTAAACAGGCAGTGCCGTTGCTGCCGGTGACCAGGTAGTTTCCTCTTTCAGGTCTCTCGGGGTCTTTGTGCGGAGCAGCGGTGGTTTGAGGAGTCGTGGGAGGGGCAACCGTGGCAAAACCCTGGTGCAGGGCAGCAGCTGCAAAACATATTCACTTATAAGTCAAGCACTACAGAGAATTGATGATATGAGAACAAACATATAAAATAGAAAATGGCCTGTAGTATATTTCCACGTCTTTGCATTAATTAAATTGTTAATTTTGCTTACATCCAACACATTTTGGACAACTTACTGTATGTTATCCTCAAACAGCAGAAAATAAGCACCACACGGCTCAGACAGTAGAAGGATCTAATCAGTGATCCTCTGGGATAAGCTTTGCAGGTTATTAGCAGCACATTTATTTTCACTCGCTCATGCCAAATTGCACTGTCTGATATGAAGTTTCAAGAAATAAAACAATCCCTCAGTGAATTCCTCAGTGTTTCAGAAAGCCTATTTTCTCCATCAATACATACAACTTCAGTTCTTACATATAGAAATTTGCCTTCAGTAGCAAACTATCAACTACAAAATGTACCTAAAATCTCAAAATAAAAGCACTCACAAGGCAGAAATGTTAAGTGTTAGAATGTTTACGGCTGCTACTAAATTACCTACGAGCCCAAGGTGCCATGTGTACCTTCCTGTCTACAGCTGAAAACCCAAACATATTCAGCGTACTACTACACAGAGGCTTGAAACACTGCAAATATTCAGATGAGAGGATGAAAACTGCAAATTTGATAATAAAAAAAGAAGACAAGAAACACTTAATTATCAAAATTGTTGCAGATAAAACATTTTTTAAGCATAATGTTGTTACTTCATTTGACCGTTTGACCCTCACTGTGCTAGTTCGACTCAAGAAGCCTGTTTTCACACTCATCTGCTGAAGGGGGGAGGTTTCTCCGTGTTTACCTGAAATCTAGTTTAGCATACATACATGCAACAAACCACATCAGACAGCATACCTGACTCTTGGTATGTAACATGGCTACATACCAGCAGCACTTAGACTCCAGATAAATAAAGCAGATAAAGAAACAGGTCCATAATCACCATATTTTCAGAAAAGCTGGGCTCTTAAAGGTGTTGCTAAAGTTATTCTCAGGGATTTACACTTAAAAGTGAATCTGTATTTTAATATGCGTGTAATTTAAAACTACCTCAAGTAATGATTTATTAAACTATTGCCTTTAGTGCTTTGATCAGTTCTACTGATGGACATGAACTGTCAAATACCTTCTCATCCTGTTTTTAGTTTTAATTCCCAGTTGGACCTGTCATCTCTGGACTATGCTTTTAGATTTGTTCAGGTGTATGTTGCTACTTCTGTAACAGACTGCCCTTGCACTAATAATCCTTAATTGTGCACATACAACATGATCACTTTGAAGATTTATCAGTTGATTTTCTTTTATGGGACAATGCAGTCCTCCTTTGTAAGCAGAGTGGCCACATTTGTCTGATTATCACCACATATCTGTTCTAAAACACCACAAAGAAGCTTCTCACACTAATTACAGTACATTGAGAAAAGAGGCTGCAATATGTTGAGAAATCAGATGGTGTTGACCTGATTACACATGCTTAAAACATGCCATTAGTGATTACTGCTTACACCAGTTTGTGCTTGTTGATGTTTAGGCAGTTTATATGTATAGCACCGGAGCTATAGCCCTGTTTGTTTGTTTTCTTGTTTTTTCCAAGAGTAAGCATAATAAAAACAATATCCCTTCATGTATTCATGTCACTCTGATCATATGTTAAAGATCTTGAAAATAAGGTGTTGATTAAAATGTTGTGATATTTTGTTACAGTTGTGAGATCGTGATCTGTTGTGCTAAAATCTAAATATTTTTCTGTCATACTGAACATTTGGTATTTTGTGTCTCACTGTCTCCCAGCAGGATACCAGCAGCAGTGACATTACAGTGGCTGCAGTGGCCTCGCTGTATCGTGAAATTAACGAACAAATAACAACGAAAACACTTTCTAATGTTTTACTTGGAGCTGGTGTAGTTAGATAAGTTATGATTCAGCTGTGGACAGAATGTTTTGTCAGCAACACAGGCAGCAGACTTGCTTTGATTATTATCACTGGTTGTTTATACGGGACATGTTGTGATATGAGGAACTTTCTCCCTCAGCAGCACCTGCATCTCTTTTCTTTAAAAGGTCCAACGCCCAAATTACTCTCAAAAAAATGTGTAGACACATATTTCTAAGGCTTTTTAATATGTTCACAGCTCTGCAAATGACATAAGTAAGACTAACTCCAAGGCAAACCACTGGTCGTCCTGTACACACTGTGATACTGATGTTTATCATAGGCACAGAAAGAAAGTGGGTTGAACTTACTTAACCTCACTTCTTGACCTTAAATTGCTTGAAAGTAAAGCACTTATCTGGTTAAATGTAAAGATTGCTGTGCTGGGATAACACAACCAATGTGTCAAGATCCTAACAACAGTGTAGAGATAAATATGGGTGATTTAAAGTAAGTCAGGCCCAGATTTTAGTGTCACAAGTGATGATGATGGAGTGAATACACAACAAAGAGCCAACATTTACCCCTTTAAACACTTTTGCTCTATGAGTGATTAAACTGCATTTGGCTGCATGTTTATAACACAGATTTCACCCCAATAACACACTAGAGGTGCATGAAACAACAATGATTCCGTAAGTTTGACGCCTCTACCGTTAGCAGGGTGGAATAAACGGTGCCTCTTTGCTAAACTGTCCTGCTAGTTGAGGGCAGGTTTATGTGCGACCTTCGGGGTTAGTTGTTTTTCCAGGTCACACAAACTGAACAAATACTCACCTAAAATAAGCGGTAACGTTACTCCCAGGCACCATGACTGGACACGGCACATCTGCGTCATGTTTCTCTTGTTGTCCGGAGGAAATCTCGGCAGCACCGCGGTGGACGGCTAGCTAGCTACGGTTAGCAGATGTTGTGCTAGCTAGGCTAACGGTAGCGCAAGAAGAAGAAGAAGAAAAAATGAAACAAAAGTCAAACGCACTGATTTGGAGGAGGGTGTTAGGTAACAGAAACCACTCTGGCTACGAGTTCAAACTTTTTCTCTCTTTTTTTTGCTTGTATTTAGTAGCTGAGAGGTAAATTGTGCTCGTCTTTAACAGTTTATCGCCGCTGCTAACTGACATCAGGATCATGTGACTGTTGGTTAAGAAACACCCAGAAGGTCACGTGGTCGACGATGTACACACTGAGTGTAAACAACAGCAGCTGCACGAGCAGTGTGCTTCATTTTGTGCAAGAGTGCAAGAATAAATACACATTTTCTTGACTTTAATGTAAAGCACACACATACAGAGGTTGATATGATCTTGAAAATTAGCCTAGACTATAAATCTTTACATCTTAACCTGATAATTGCATCATTTTCAAGTTATTGCAAACGGAAATGTAAATAAAGAGTGGGACAATTCTTCATTTTTGAATATCTGTGCTTCACTTATGTTCCACATAATATCACAGTGAGTGCAGGACAGCTTGTGCAGGGGTTCTCAAACTGTGTGGTTTGAAATTTGTGATGATTTAAAGCTATGATTATATGCATTGGCAAAACTTGTTGTCATTCATTTAATTCAGTTTAGTTTGGGTGACCAACCTCTTAAAGAGTCCAAGAGAAGCTATGCAGTTGCCAGTGAGTGGCAAAAAAAGTTCACCCACAAAGCCCCACAACACAATAACTCAAATAAATAATTCATAATAATTCTAATCAGAGTAAATCTGCTGCCTATTACTGACAAAAAAGGAACATTTTGTCCATAGCTACTGATGACCTTTGTAAGTACAGTAAGTTACAATAAACAATAAATGTATTTGTTTATTATTTCACTGGGGAAGCATCCATACACACAATACATTCACTCATGCAAATACCCTGCTTCCTAATATTCCTCCATGATAAAATACTTAACCTAACAGAAACTGTTGGTGCACAGATTGGACTTCTGTGAACAGTAAAATAATATCCCAAAGTTGCTGCATCATACTATCGTTGAAATAAAACATATGAGGCTACAGCTTTGGACACCCAGGTCTAACAACATCACTGAAGTAAAGCACTAACAACTTTTATTTTGGTAAAAGTAGCCGTAAAACAGAAAACACTACAAGTAAAAGTCCTGCATTAGATTGTTGTATCATCATCCAAATGTACTTAACATATTTTAAAATGCAACAGAAGGAGTGAAGAGAAAATGATGTCGTGACCTATATATTATTAGTACAGATGCACAGGCAGCATTTTACTGTTGCTCAGCAAAGTTTGTATTATATGTGTCACTGCTGATAAATGTGAAGGGCGTTGATGTAATGATTACTGAATGTCAACTCATCTTTCCTTCAGTGGCGTCACCCTGTGTGGTTGTTACAAATATTTTAAAAAATAGCCTCATTGAAAGTTCCTATCCTGGTTAGTTTCAGCAAACAACAAAAAAGTTACAAATCATCTGTTAAATACTTCTTTCTAATTTTACCGAGCTGTCATTTTTGTGTTGTGCTTAGATTACATTCAAATTAAAACATCTTGCAGTAGCAGTGCGGTGTCCAGAAGCTTGGATGTGGGCATCTGATTAAAGGCCACCGAGGTCAAGAACCGGTCAGAAGTCCCTGAACATTTTACACACTGGTGCTGATATGACGTCTCTTCTCTGTGCGACTTAACCTGGCCTCACTTATCTGGTTCAATAGCTTCCTTAAGTGTCACAGATCAGTGTGATTATGCAACATGAGACAGACTGGGGGCTTCAGAGACATGCAGAGGTCTCGTGTCTGTAACCCTTTCCTTTACACTGACACTCTAACATTTACGTATTTTCAACGCGCAGGCTCTTAAACAGGCTGCTGATGGACTGTTCACATTTCTGTTACTGACTGAGAACCAACAGGTTCATTATCATCTAAAATCCATTTTGTGTTTGATAACATGTGCTTTTGTGTGTTTACTACACCTTTAGATGCATATCACTGACCCAAGCTGTGCTGTCAAAGTTTGTTTGTTTCCACAATTACCTCTGAAAACATGCTTATATTTCTGTAGTACATCTGCAGACAATGCAGGGTTACGACTCAGCTAAATTCATATTATTTATTTATTCCTTTGCAGAACATTGTCATCTAAATTAACCATTTTAATCCATTTTTTTAAAATCATATATCGCATGTTTTTTTTAGGCAAATCCACTAATTACATCAAAGTTAAAACAAAATTTATAGGCATCATATGAACATCATTTATTTAAATTGTTTCTCACACATTATAATAAAGCTGTAACAAGACAGGGCTTTAATAAACTACAGCTCTTCCAATAACCATAACTGGCATGTAAACAGTTCATTTTAAGATTGATAATAAAGTGTAGCAAAGCTGTAATCATGTCAAATCACTGACAAGTCGTGTTTGTTGGCAGAGACACAATTCTCAAAAAAAAAAAAACACATATTTGAAATTCTATATTTTTAGAAAAAAAAAACACATATATGTTTACAACTACATCATACTGTGTTATAGCGTGTTATAAATCCTACATTACTGCTTTGAAAAAAAGCGCAACCAGCATTTCTGAAACTGAAACTTTAACATCGTACCATTAGAAGTTAAGCTCTCAGCACCGTAATGCAGTGCAGCTCTGTTTGAGAAAAAGTGAACAGATTAAAAACAGCTGATTGCGACTCTGCTAGTTATACAATCACGGAGAAAACATGAACCAGGTGATGCTGAAATCAGTGTGGAAGATCAGATGAACTAAAAACACAGTCGGTGCGGCCTACGGTGGGTGTTGAAGGTTGCATGATGCTTTCAAGAACAAACAGCTCAGTCTCAGTCCATTGGCAGGTTGTCAGTTCAGCCACTTCCTCTGATCTGAGAGAAATTAGAGCGAAGCAACGAGAAGCAGCCAGGAAAGAAAGAAACAGAGAAAGAAAGACAGACAGAAAGAAAGAAAGAAACGTTTATTTTGAGACACAGAAAGCAGGCAAGTCATGGACACACTGAGGACAGGTGTGGTGATGCTGTTTGTGCTCCCGGCGCCTGTTTACTGTTCAGGTAAGTGACGCGAATATAATTTTATAATGGATTTTTACTGAATTTTACTTTTAAAAAAATCTTAGAATGTCTTTACATGTGATTGAAGAGACTAGTGGGGTTTGATATGACAAGTGTGTCAGTGATTCTGAATGAATTTAGAAAACTAAGCTTCAATTTGGGCTTCCTCATCCTGATGTGGAAATCTTTATACTCCGATAAATACCTTTACTCACATAGTGTAGCAGCAGCTTTACTTGAATATTCACATTTAAAGCTTTATTTATCAGTTGCTTTTTAAAATCTGGAATATTGAAACAAAATGAATAAACAGGCAGAAACAAACTTCAGCATTCAAGTGATTTAAACATTTGTTATATATACATTACAAATATATAGATTTCTACACTGTGGTAAATTATAGAATCTGAGAACTTTTTGGACGAATGTATTTTATAGGAAGGAAGACATTTGTCATCGCTGATGTCTGTTATAAGAGTTGCAGGCGAGATGAGAGGAGATGTTTCCTCCACTAGCGCAGCATTGTCTTATGGAAAAAGTAAGTGAGGTGCATGTTAAGGAAATAAGTATGAGTTAGCATTGACAGTTTCCATTTTCCATTTAATAGTCTAAAAATAGTTCACTGTATTTATAATACAGGAAGTAAAGAGATACAGAAAGATTGATGATCTTGTTGCCCTTTGATGACCCCAAAATTATATGCAAAATAAATATGCTTGCTTCTCTTAAAGTTTCCATACAGCAGCCGGTTGCTTGTTTGATTCTCTCTCCTGTGTTTAATTACTGACCTGTTGCTCTCCATATAAATACACCTGCAGCGTAAGTGGCCGGCCGGCTGTCGTATAAAGTATAAAATAATGTGCTCGCTTTCTGTTCTCGGGGTTTAATTTTTGGAAGTTTTCATGAGTGGAAGACGTTTTTTTGTGCGTTTGATGTTTCCCAGACTTTCTCTTTCATGTCATAGTTAGAGTGGAGGGAAAAAAAAATATTTTCAAAATGATCAAAAAACACTTTCAAGTCCCGTCATGTATGTCAGTCAGATTTATCGTGATGAAGGGATTATAGAAAGAAAGCATGCATGAATAAATCATTTCTATCCAGATGCTTTACTCGATGTGAAAACTCTAAAGGTGAAATTCTGCTGTTCCACTTACTTGTGATCAAAACTCACAGCAGAAAAACACACTGGAATGTAAAGAAGAGCTGCTGCCGTCAACATTTTAATATATTTACTTACTACTTTTGTTGATATTTTGCATTATGAGAAGTGTAAATGTGCACATTTGTTATATTTACAGATTTAGGCTGATTTAGCAACAATTATGAAATACCAATCAGAAAAACTAAGTTTCCTCCCTTTGTTTCTCTTTAACCCTATTCAGGACTTTTGGAGTCTCTTGGACCCCAGGTCATTTGGTTTAGGTGACAGGTATTGTTTTTTTGGGGGGGGGTTTTTGAAGATTTTTTTTTTATATATATATATATAAAGAAGGACATTTGTCATGCATTTGGAATAAAAAAATACGTCAACTTTTAGGAAAATTTATTTAACATAGTATAAAAGTCTATAATGAATACCAACAAGTATTTTGCACATATTCTTTCTTGGGGTCCAATAGACCCAGAAAGACCTTCTATGTACGGAAACATGAAAGTCCTGAATAGGGTTAAAGCAGCTTTTAGGGTTGAAAAATCAATTTATTTCATACCGTGTGATCGGTTTGTTCCAGCTCTTTGTCATTTATGCTGTGATAAGCAAAATACATGAACATTTCAGCTATTTTATTTAATTTTTTTAGCAATCATTTACAGCAAAACCTGACACACGTGATGATATTGGAAACTTTAAAATACTCAGTAAAATTTTAAATAGACTTTTGCTGGTTTAGATATCGTTTGGCTGCACTGCATGCGTCTAAAATCACAGACGCTTCTGATGAGTTTTTATAGGCACGCTTCAGCATGTTTAGAAACATGCTTTGATTTCAGATTGGTAGCTTTCTCATTCATTACTTTTGTTATTTTTGGCGTTTTTAGGCGTAATTTTATTGATTTTTGTAACAAAAAGGAGTAAATAAAACTCCTGCAGAAAACAGATGTTAACCCTCTGAATCC